TGACCTTTGTTAGCCTAACAAACACAAAGCAGCCGACACCATCTATCTATCCTCCTCACAGTGCAGTAGAGACTTCAATTCTCACTTTATACCAGTATTTGACACAATTTGCGTCTACGACATAATAAAGACGCAAAATAAAATGGTCCAAATCCTAACTACTAAAAATTGAGCGACGTCAGTATATATTTATGAAATTGCCAGTATTATTAAATTTAAAAAATTAACAATTTACGTTTCGCATTCAGAAATTTGATGCAAAGCTTCTTTTAGTCCTAGGTCAGGCATATTTGAAAAGTGATTGCTTAAAAACCGTACAACGCGTAAAAATAGTTAAAACTTACTCCACAAATAGTGCTACAGAATTTTCATGTTTGAAGGTGTATATAGTCGTCCGAGTAATAAAGGAATTAACAATATTTTAAAGAAATTTATAAATACTGGATCGGTTATAGACATTGTAAGTCCTGCGCATATCCGCTTTGCTTATTCCATCTCCGAAGACTCAAATGTGTTTTTTCTCGAGCAAAAATGGTTGAGGGAAATAAGAGAATTTTCCCGGCCGCGGATAAGCCTCGAAGTCTTGAGTACTTGAAAACCGAAATTCGTCAAGTTATAGCTGATATATCCAAAATATGATCGAAAAACACTTTAAACAGATCGACATTTGCGAGGCTTTCATTTGAACAATGGAGTGTTTTACATAAAATGCCAAGGCGAAAGTTTTATAATAAAAATGGAATTTCCTAAAAAAAGTTATTTTACATGCATTTTATTTGCGCTTATTATCAAAACCGCATAACCCGGTATCCCTGATGTTGGGTCCAGGGCATGGTCCGGCGTCATCCTAATGAAACAGTATTACCTCTATGTTGGCCAAAGCTGGGCGCTTTTGGTCAATTACCTCAATTAAATTTGTATTTATTAAGTCAAAGATTTTAAAAATTTTACAGAGTAGATTTACGTATTATTTTAAATTTCAAATCTATACAAGTACTGAAATAAAAAGCAAGAAGAATGGAGCCACAATGAGATCTCGGCAATGTGAAATTAAAATCAGAGCGTGCTGGAATTATAGCATCGTAATTGTGGTAATTGGGTTTAAATACATCTAATTAGAATAGATAATGAGAGCGCAAAGTTCTATGAGGAACAATAAAGCTGTTTTGCTGAAGCGGATCTGGAAAGTCCATTAAGCCATTGATGGTGTCATAAATAAATAGATTTAAGATTTATTTTCATACATCGCGAAGTTCACAATGGAAGGGGTTCAAAAAAATGAAGCGAAGCAAGAGCAAAAAGGAATAAGCCTACTTTGGACCATTTCTAGTTTAGAGAGAAAGCTTTGTTCAGAACCCAAGATTTTCGCTTTACTTTCAAGGACACAACTAAAAACTTTGCTCAAGCTTTAAGCAATTTAATTCAAATATCTTACTTCACAAAAAAGAAATAAAAAATTATAAAAAAATGTTTATAAAAAAACACATTGAAGAAATTTTCATTTCAGGAGAATTTCTATTTTGGTTGTAGGAGAACATTATGTTTTTCAATATCTATATACCGATGCATATATATGTATTTATAATAATCAAACTCATCCATTTTGTTCTAACTTTCATAAAATAAAATCAATGGAAAGAGGAATATATCTTCCTCGGTTAAATAATTTCTTACAATTTTTTACAAGTTTTTAACATAAGCACTATGTTTAAAAAAATGTTATTGCTTTCTTCTTATTTCCTCCAATTTCAACAATGAAAATTTCAAATATTTTTTTTTTGGCTTAATTATTAATTTTTTAATGGAAATGAAAATTAATGGAAATTCCTATGCAACTCAACGCTTATGACATTTATGGCGAATTCCAACGAATTAGGCTGCCACTACCTTACTGAAACATATAAAGTACGAAAGCAATGATTCACTGCTGAACTTTGTGTAACTCAGCTGGCTCATCGGCGAAGCGTACCGACAACTTGCCAGCGCACAGCACTACGTTCCTTCGCCTCATTTAATTAAAAACATTATGAGTTGGAGGTAACCTATAAGTAGGCAATTACTTTCCTGTGTTAAATATGTATTTAGTTTGCCATATTGAGCTGTTATCGAACCTTATTGGGCTGCATAAAACTGGCTGCTATAAAGAATCAGTTGAAATTTGACTTCTCTCTTGTGCACAACTCAAAGATTTTGTCAGCAAACATGACGGACAACGAAGTAAGTAATAATATATTGTATACGTGTATATACGTGCCTTAAACACTTACCATTCTTATGCACACTGCAATGATTATCATTACAAATAAAGAAATTTGACCCATCTGGCATAAATGGACTTTATATTGAGTGCTACCAACTTCATTTATCAAAAAAAAAAAAAATATTATATATATATTATAATACAATTTAAAAAGTTGCAAAACTTACTAATGAAAATAAAAAAAGTGAAGAAAAGTAACAGCTATTGGAAAATTATTTTCAGGCTGTTCAGCAGTTTTTGTGTGGCAAATTTAAAGAAAATTTGAACTAAACCTATGATACATAAATTATGAGTTAAACCAAAGTGTATTTACGGCTTTTAAGCAAAAATAAAATAAAATTTCGGTTACAGCTACTTTTTTAGCAAATGTCATAATTATTCATTACTCGTTACTACGAATAAATTATCCTTTTCAAAAAAAGATTTTTATTTTTGTGTAGAAAAATTTTGTTCGAAAGTCACTCTCTCTTTTTTCGGTGTGGTCAAAACAAAAGCAGATTATAAAAAAAAAATACTTTTTAAAGACTTGAAAACTCCAGCTGGTAAGACACTAAACAATTACCAAAAACTACCAGTTTTATGTTAAAATATCCTTATGCAGGTTGGGTAGTTATGGTAAAACTAAAAGCTGAACAATTTATGGTCAAAACTAACAACTCGTAAAATATTGCGTAGCGTTGTTAGTTATTTCATTGGAGCTGTTTGCCACTTCCATATGGACGATTGGAGTTTAAGCGTGCTTTGCTCAATACATAAAAAGGACCTGAAAAATCTGCGTTATTGCATCGTTAGTTCTTTTGTGGACGACACGATTAATTTCAACTAAAAAAACTTACTTGTCCTCAATTCAAGGGATGATCTTCATAAAAATCGTTGTTTTCACTAATCGTTGGAAAATTTCTTCTATCTCTCCGTTGCTTAGTTCTGGTAACAAAAATTAAAATAAAAATTATAGGAGTATATATAAATTATCGACTTGTTCGAAACATCTCGAGAAAGTGATAAAGGATGAATTGTTCTTTGCGGCTGAAAGCTCCATTAGCCCGCATCAGCATGGTTTTGTCAGCGATCGTTCTAATGTTACTAACCTAGCCTGTCCTTTCTTGTTATTGAATTGCATCTTTTAAGAAGGGATATCAAGTTGAGGTCGATGCTGACCGATTTTTCGAAAGCCTTCGATACTGTCCTATATAACATTTTGTTACGTATGCTAGTGTGCCTAGGCTTAAATCATATCTCTCCGATGGATTCTCTTTTGTTGAATTGGAAAATACGAGATCGTATGCCTTTGAGGCCACCACTGGGGTACCTCAAGGTAGCATGCTTGATCCATTATTATTCCTTCTTTTTATAAATGACATTGGAACTTGCTTTAGGAATTCAAACTTTCTGCTTTATGCAGACGACCTAAAACTATTTGAATGCATTTAATTTTTTCAGATTTTTTACTTTTATATGATGATCGTAAAAATTTAGAAGATTGAAGCATTATTATTTATTATTTATTTTTTATTTATTTCTTCAAAGCGCTCAAATGTGCTCAGGTCGACTTATTTGCTATTATTTGATAATAAGCTATCTTTTGTAAATGGTTTTTTAAATCTTGATGTGTTGCTTGATGTGGCATTAACCTTCATTAATCACATTAACTGCATCATTGCTAAAGCTTATACTAACCTTTCTTTTTTACAGCGGTATGGTGGTGATTTCAAAGATCCCTACACGCGTGAAATTTTATGTAACTGTTTGGTTCGTTCAAAGACAGACCATGCTGGCTTAGTTTGGAATACAATTTATTATATGCATTCCTCTTGACTTAAAACCATCCAACGTATGTTTCTTCATCAATCAAATGCGCAGCTTTAATGCTCCTCATAGAAATTAGCGCTCTCATTTTCCGTTCTATTTTGGAGTAAATAAAGCCAATTATCATAATTACTTTCCTATTGTTAAATCTCTATCTGAATTTAATAGAATCTCTAGAAGCTTTAATCTTGATTTCGCATTTCCGAGATCTCGTTTTGGCTCTATCATTAATGCTTTTTGTTCTTAGTATAAATTAATAGATTTAAGTTCTTGTGAAAAAATTTAAATTGAAAATGAAAATGTCAAAACTAGTCGGCCAAGAAGGTTTTGTTGTGTATGCAGTGGGATTGGTAAAGAATCATCCATTATGAAGAAAGCATACGATCAGAAGAAGGCAGGAGGAGAGTTGTGTTTTGTTATGATAACACCAAACCACGTTGGAAAGTTCTTATGCATCCACCTTATGATCCGGACCTAACACCAGGCGACTATTATCTGTTCCTGTCTATGGCAAATGATTTGGCTGAGGAAAAATTTGCATGAGACCAAAAAAGTTTGTAAAAATCCACTGTTTGAGAATATTCCCAATTAAGACAATTAGTTCTATGAGTAAGCATATTGATATTACTTTCAAAATCGTAATAAATTATGAACTAAAACGGTTAATTTCAGATAGTTTTAATTAAGTTAATGCAATAATAATGGATATCTTTTTACTAGACAAAGCTTTAATTGTTCTAGATACACACAAATCACTTTTTTGGCAAATGTTCAACCTTTAGCATTTACTATAATTGCGAACTAAGTAAATGACGAAACCACAATTTTTTCAAAATTTCTTCCAAATATTTTTCATTCTCCTCACCTGAACAAAAAAGCACAAACACAATTTTTTCTTTACCAGCCAAACCGAAAAAAATTATAAAATTTTCAAAACAAATAAAGTAGTTGACTTTTCAAAATTGACGGCGAATAAATAATTTAATTTGTAGCAACGGGGAAAAGCTTTGCTCAGGATAAAGCAAACGCGTGATTTAAACCGCTTAATACAAATAATAATTCTACCGAAAGATAAATAACCAGCAACAAAACGTAAGTACAATCGGATAAACTGAAAAAAGCTAGCAAATAAAGTGAAAGCTCTGTGAAAATTTTCTTTGATAATAAACGCTTATTCAGCTTATGTATGCTTCGACAGCCAAAAGCGGTTATATCATTTTAATAATATTAATAACAATAATAATAATACAATAGAATATGAAAACGCTCGTACAAGCAACCACATATAAATAACTGCAGTTCAGTTGGTAAATGTTGTTAAGCTAAGCACTTCTCTTTCTCTCTCTCTCTCTCTTTTTGTCGCATTATTTCCAGATGAGTGGTCGTGACGACTTCTTCTCCAAAGAGGCTTCACTCATCAACCGTTCAAAACGGGAGCTGGCGGACGGACGTGATAAAGATCCAATCTACAAATTACGCTTGTTATGCTTCAGTCGTGGCGCAACCGGGATACTCGGATTAGCCAGGTAATTGCTTAAAGGGGTAGTGTGGTAGTCGGAAGAAAAAAAATCATATGAGCAAAATTGAGATATTGGCATGAAAGACATGACAGACAGACATGCACATACATCACAACATAAAGAAAAATAGAGCTGCAAGTGGACGCTTCAAAGCATATAATTGAAAGCATACAAAGTGGGTAAAAATAAGAAATATCAAAATTCAGCTCTCTCTAAATTCTGCTTATTCTTCCTCTTCTTGTCAGAGAGTTGTGACGTTATGCGCCGTTAGGTAGTATGCAAATGATGGCCGCAATGAAACAGCAATTCAATGCAAATAGTCGTACAATGCAATAAAATGAAATATTCAGCATTTCGTTGAACGATACCAGGAGATTTTAATTCAGCCAGATGAGCTAGCCACCCAGCAGCCATACACAAGCAATGAACGAAGCAGCAAAAAAAATAAGATGAAAACTAGTTCTGCACAATACGTACTCCACCAACAGCAAAGCTCAGTGAACAACTGGCAACTGTCTACTGTTTGGTCAATGAATATCATACCCCCACTGGCACACCAATACTGCTCTGTATGCTGACTGTCCAACTGTCCAACTCTCCGACTGTCCAACTCGCCGACTGTTCACCTGTCCAAACGCTCGACTGTTCAACTCTACCAACAGCTGTCCAATCATTCATCAGTCGTCAGTCGTCGGTCCTCATGTCGCATAAACTATTCAAGACTACACTGTGCTCGGCTATTCGTGCAACATGTAACTTAATGCATGTTGCCATGCCACAGAATACTGTTGACTAGCTGACAGCTGGTTAGTTGGTTATTTCATTTGTTGTGCTTTTTCTTTTTCTACTTTGGCTTTGCTCATATCTGTTGTTACGGTGGTTATTTGGGTGGCACATTTCGGTTGAGATTTTGTTGGCTTCACTTCGTTCGAAAAAGCTGACCAGCTATCGACGACCCTTACCTTGCAGGTGTGGTGGGTAAGGTGGGTCCTTACTTGACGAGGCATTAAAATAATGAAATTACACACAGAGAAGCAGACAAAAATAGCCAAAAGTAGTATGTAGATGATGGGCCTTAAGGGGCACGTAATCCTAATGAATTTGCTCGTAAAGTAGTAGTGTTGCGCATGAAAAAGGTTGTGTACCGAGTTTTTGTATTATTTCATTTGTTTTTTTTAGAGTGTTTTATATGGTGGTTTGAGTGCATCCTTATGAAGCAGGTGCAATTAGTAACGAAATAAGTAAACGAAAATGTGAAAATTCATATTAAATGAAGTAGTCGACAATTTTTCGTTGACTTTAATTTCAAAATATCAATTTTAATCTTCCTCAAATATTTCAATTGTTATTTGCCCGAGATGTACATAATAAAAGTTGGAAAATTATGGAGTAAAAGCTTAAGTTTTCCATTTCTTTCTAAAATTAACTTTTTTGCCAAATCCCTCAGATGTCAGCAAACTTTTTCTTGGGTTTCTCTTTTTAGTAATATTTATACTTGTTTAAAAGTCCATCCTTTAAGAATGGGGTGTCAACTTACTGGCATACCTAAATTAGAGCGTTCGGCGTAGGGTTCTTTAATGCCAATGAGTGGCAACGAGCGCTATCCCAAATTAAGAGCGCTAATGTTTTTGCGTTTTCTCTTTCTGTTCAAGTTCATATTATTACAAGAGCGTTTAATTATATCAAAAAAGATACTCCGAACTTAATCGGTCAGTAAAAGTGTGCCTTCACTAGTTGAATCAAAGAATATTAATCATTTTATTTGCAAAACACAACTTATTTGTCAAATTTTTTTTTGCTATTTGCTTATTTCAATTCGTCAGTTTCTTCTCCTCTTTTTCACACCTTATCCTTCACATCGTCGCCACAAATTGTATGGGCATGAGAATTTTTGACAGTTATTTGGTGCTCAACGCTCCAAATAAGGGATAGCAGTTAATCACTGATACTTCCACTGAAGCCGATGCTATCATCCTTCATACATTGCACTATAAAAAGTAATCCATTATTTTTGCATTGAATTCTAGGCTCTATTTACTCTAGTTAGAATTATCTGGCTAATATCAAGTATTCAAAATTTTGTTCAAGGTCGGGACTATAAGGTAGGTCCATATTAACTTCTCAGCCAAGCTCTCGGTTTCTCTGACGAGCCATTATTAATATGACTTGCCAGGCGTTGTCCTGATGCAACGAAATTCTCTTGTTGACTAAAGTTGGGGGCATTAAGAAGCACACAGTTGATGATTCTTTCCGAATTCCACCAGAAACAACAAGGTCATCCTGGCCGGCAGTCCTGTCTTAAAGACGCTTTGTATCATCTCACGACTGTTTTCGATTGACATTGCTCTAAGTGATGCACTTCTTAAAATGAATCGAATTTTCAGTGAAGTTGATTCTCGTTAACCCATCGAGATTTTTTGTGTTTCCTCTTTCAAAAGATTCTCAACTGTTTTTCGTACAATGTTTACCTCCAGGGCAATCGGAGCAGTGCACGCATGACGGTCTGACTTCACGATTTCCATTACTTTACATTCACTAACGATACCGTGGAGCATCTTCACACATCTTCACATATTCAGCTGTTTGCGCTTTCGCCTTTATCGAAAGAAAAGTATTTTTCCTTTACTTGTGTCCATCTTTATCATGCGCTCAAGCACTAGTGATTAACACTTTTCCTCAGTATCCTTATTAGTACTAAATATTACTCTCCTTCTAATGCCCATATAGAACGCCAAATACAAATCACAAAACCTTCGTTTGAAATACATATTGTTGTTGTTGTATATATATTATTTGAAATTGTCGCACAGTCCCAGATTTTATTGTTGGCAGGTATTCGTGAATGATCAAATCGTGAATCGCCCCATTGCTGATTCGCTTTGCTTTTCGAATTGATTTAACTCCAATAGTACAATTAAATCGCTGTTACTTTTCCAGAAATCAGGTTTTACATATATATGATATTTAGAATCGCTCCCTTCGCTTCTTGATACATTTCCCAACAGCTTTTTTCCAAGCCGCCTCCGATCGACTAATGTGTTTTATGAAGAGCCTTAATTTCCTATAAGAAATGCTCACGGATATGAATATTGTCCTCCGCTTGGTAGCACGCACTGCTAATTACTCTGCTATTGCATTAAGTCCATGTTCTGCAGATCAAGTCATTCTACTTATTTTTGTTAGAACTTAATTATTTCTATTTGGTGATTGATATAAGCTGTGCAGTCTTTGTAGATGAATGAAATCACTGCAATATTTTCAACTTTCTTGTTTCGTCTTGTGCCTCATAAATTTTTTACAAATATTACAAGTGCACGAAAGGGTATATTAACTTTGACCCGAAGTAACAGAAGGGTAAAAGATATATCCATTAAAATCTATATCCGTTGAGTCAGACTGTCCGTGTGTTTGTATGGAAACTAGCCATCAGACTTTGGGATATTTTTATCAAACGTAGTACACGATGGCTCTGGTACATTTAAATTTTTTTTTGTCAGAACTGACCCGGACTATTGTAATATATAGAAGAAAGATTTTCCAGATATGAGATTTTTGGTTATAAATTTGTCAGAAATGCGTCTGAAAGCATAACGACTATAACATATATCTGGCATACCATATATATGAGATTTGGTATTCTACATACATATATATACATCGTCATCGACAAGCATCGGAATCGGAAAATTGTATCGTACATTACTACGCTAAATACATTTTTAAAAACTCTTTTTGTGAAACTGCTAATACTGTCCTTCTTTACTATGCGAAAAAATGAGCGCAATCTATTGCAATATTACCCACTTTGTTTGCAGCAGCTGTTGAAATGAGTCGACCTCAGCTCCCTCTGCGAATTTCCTCCTCATCGATGGTTCATCGATGGTTTTGAGCGAGTTTTTGGCCTCAAAATTGTTGACATCTTCAGCTCGGTGCAATGGCGAATTATCGTCATGAAAGTTTCCTGAAATTGTTGGCCCACAAGTTCGGCCGTTTACGAAAAAAGTTTTCGCGCAAATACCTCAAAAAGCCAAAATAATACTCTTCATTGACCATTCGCTTCGTTGGAACGAATTCGTTATGAACAAAACCACAAATATCGAAATAAAAGCAATTTCCAGAAGCTTTCTGGACCTTCCAGTCAATATTTAGTCCTAAATTGAACCCCATCAAGTTAATTTGGTTATGAAAGGTATAAAGACTTCAACATAATTAAAGCCAACCTCTTCTTTTTTTGTTATGTTATTTATTTAAATGTAATTTTCGAAAACGACAACTCTTATAATAACATTAACTTTACAATACCATATACATATATATATGCGTGTATATATTTATATTTCCAGAACCTTTCGCAATATGGACGATGATGGCAGTAAAGCTTTAAATTACGAAGAGTTCCATAAAGGCATCAAAGACACCGGTTTAGAATCCACAGATGATGAAATACGGGACATGTTTACAAAGTAAGTGAACGTAGATATTTCATCTTAGAATTTTCGAAAAATTAACTATGAAGGAGAGGAAAATCTTGCTTTGCCACAAAACACTATGTAGAAAACGCGCTTCAAAACAATTTAAACCAGCTCGACTAAAACTGCTATAGCTTCTAAACATGTTGAATTGGCCACTGGATCTTCAGCAGCTGCTATAAAATTGCATGAGGAGACTTTAATACAGAAAAGCGAGTCAGAGGAATCAATGTTGGGGAAATGTGTATTAAAATCGTTACATAAAGATCGGAAAGGGTCGTGCATTTCAAAGTTTTTTCGGCACGAGCCCAATGAAAGGGCCTAAAGTGTCTAGATGATCTTAACGGGATGGATCACTAATTAGGATGCTGATAGCACCTCTTATGAAATTAGTAAAAAATAAAACTCCAAGTATCTTTCTACGACTATGGAGTGCAGGCAGATTAGTGAGCCGTAAAAGGCTTTTGTAAGAAGGCAGGTTCTTGTTCGTATCCCAGTTTAAATTTCTTAACGCGAATAATAGGAATTGCTTTTGCACAGAATCCAATTTATCACTATACAACTGATAGTATGGACTGCATACAACTGAGCCATATTCCAAAATGGACCTTACAAGTGAGGTAAAGAGTAATTTGGTATTATATGGGTCCTTGAATTCCTTAGCCCAACGTTTAATGAAAGCTAAAGCTCCTTTTGCCTTATTAGCACAAGCATTTATATGAATTCTAAAATCTAGCTTAGGATCCATTGTGATATCTAAATCAATGAAGTCAGTAACTTGTTCAACACTGTGATTATATATCAGATAGGCAAAGGATTTGAAAGATTGTTTGGAGAAACACATATATTTGCACTTACTTAAATTTTGGGACATACAGTTCCCATCGCATCACCTATCTAAATTATTTAGGTCAAGTTGCAAAAGCTTTCTACCCTCAATAGTATGAACTAATTTAAAGAGCTGGACATCATCTACATATATGAGTATTATAAAATGAAGAACAATATTTGGAAGATCATTGATGAATATAAGGAAGAGTTAAGAACCGAGGTGACTGCCTTGGAAAACACTAGATGTTACTGCTATTTCACGTGATGTACAATTTTTGAAAATTACTTTTTGTTTTCTACCAATCAAGTCCGATGAAATCCACTTGAGAAGAGAAGGTGGAAACCCGAAATGATCGAATTTAAAGTGATGTAAAGGATGAGAGACGTTGTCAAATGATTTGCTGAAGTCAGTGTAGATAACATCTGTTTGATTACCATTTTTGAAACCATTACTGACATGGGTGGTAAATTCTAGCAGGTTCAATAGGGTAGATTTACCCTTGCAAAACCCATGTTGTGAGATGTCTAAAATCGATGACACTGAATTCGCTAGTTATTCAGTTATAATAGCTTCGAAAATTTTGGGGATAGAACATAACTTTAATATCCCCCTGTAATTCCCAATTGAAGATCTACTACCAGATTTATGTAGAGGTACAATGTATCACTCTTTCCGCAAAGAAAGGAACAAATTTTGCTTTAGTGAAGCATTGAATATGTTCGTCAATGGTATATATAGAGATTCAGCACAAAATTTAAATACTCTGGTGGGGATATTATATTCAATAGTTTTAAAATGCACTTTTTGAAACCACGAAAATAGAAAACTGCCTTAAAAATGCATAATTTTTAATAACATAATCCATTAGGGGCTTATCTTAATTGTCATTAGAAATAATTTTTTACCATCGTTCTCTTCTAAATTAATAAAAGTTTGGAGTTTTCTAAATAAATTCATAAGTCACTTGTTTTTTTGCTTTCTGTATCTCAAGAAAATTAATTTAATTAAGAAATTGGGTAAAATTTGCTAATTGCGGTCGCTCCTCGGCAGGGAATATCCACCCGTCCGAGGGTATTTCTGACATGAAATAAAGGCTTCTCATAAAAAACTATCAGCCTTTCAGAGGCGGCTTAGTATAAGCCGTAGATTCATTTGTTGGGAAATTATTAAGACGCAAAACCACAAATTTGTGGAGGAGCTCGGCGGTTATAAAGCGCCAATTATACATATATAGCTCACGTTTTCTTCTTTTGTGTGCACCAAGCATATGTATTACTTATAAAATTCTATCTAACCATAAAAAACAGTTTATAATTGGAGGTTAATTACATTTTTTCACCTCAAAATCATTCAAATGTCACATTCTTGTGCATGGAAATGGTCTTTCGATCTCTAAATGCAAGCCACCACAATTTTCTAAGTGCACTTTCGCACATAGGTGTATCTTACATATGATTGCTTTCCTTTAAGCTCTTAATAGATAAATATCGATTGTATGAAAACATGTGGCATGCCTTTAACAGCTTACTAAGGCGTATGTGTTTGGAAGTTAGAATGGGTAGATTATTATTAATATATATATGTTTATTTATATATACAAAAAATAGTTCCTACTGCATTCACATTTAAAAGATATTTTTTATCACTTTTTTAGTAGTCATTAATTTTTTTATTTAATTATACACCATTTCTTCTGTGCATTTCTGTCACCCTTTATAATTTCGAACCAATAAATTCGGTCGGTTATAGTATCTTAATTATTATAACTGAAATTTTTGATGGGTTCGTTAAACCGTTCTCTAAATTTCATATACACATTTATGCATACACACAGGCTTACATTTATATATATACATATTTGCTTTTTGCTACATACCTTCCAAAAATTTTGTTGCCGTATGGTTCATTGGAGTAATCCAATACGTATTCTTTTGTAGTGAACTATTGGGTCAACTCGCACATCGCAACCAACCTGTAGTTGTTAGTCGATGATTGCTCTTGTTTTAACGATGAAGATGCATGTGTACAATACATTTTTGCTCCCATACGGAAGATAAACTGAAACTGAGTCAGTTTCGTTTCTATGATAAATACATATCATATTTATAATGTCAGTATGTTTGTATGGTTTGACCAAAGCGAATAGAATTCGAAACTAAAAATTAAGTCCGAATATAATTTTTGGATTACTTTCAAAACTAAATTCATTTATGAATATGGATTACACGAATATTTTGCATAGATGGAATATTTGGTCCAACCTTAGGACATTGCAATTTTAACTGGACCAAATTTTTTGTATGGAATGCGTTTAACTTTGGATTGCTGAAGTTTATATTTCACTCGCGGGCATGGAGTAGTCGCCTTGTGTGTAGGGTAAAGTCAAAGATATCAGTATGTTTGAATAAGTAAATGTATGTGTCCAACCACTACACATATTCATATAAACACACAAGTACTCATATATGTACATGCATATGTGCATATGTGAAATTTGTATATAAAAGCTAATAAAAGAAAAACTATTTCATAGCTTGCTGGCCCCACTTTAATTGCTAAAATATTATTTTTTCATTTTCTTTGCAAAAACTCATTTGATTTTTATTACACATTTGCAGATTCGACGAAGATAACGACGGTTCAATTAATATGACCGAATTTTTGCTGAAATTGCGGGTAAGCATAATAAAGTTTGATTTTCTTCATGAACTTAAATTTAACCCAAAGTGCGCTCGGGGATGATAACTATGCATGCTACGAACTTTATTACTAATTATTTTTCTTAAAACTAATAAAACTAATTAATTCCACTCACATATTTTAATGTTCCTACTTCGCTCTATTTGTAGCCACCAATGCCGCAATCCCGCTTGGACATTATCGATAAAGCGTTCAAGAAAATCGATCGTACCGGCGATGGCGTCATCACTGTTGAAGACTTGAGAACTGTGTATTCCGTAAAGGATCATCCTAAATATTTGAGTGGTGAAATGACCGAAAATGAAATACTCACGCAGTTCCTGAATAACTTCGAAGGTGGACGCGGCAATCTCGATGGCAAGGTGACGAAGGAGGAATTCCAAAACTATTACGCCACAATAAGCGCTTCTATTGACAATGATGCATACTTTGATTTGGTGATGCGGCGTGCTTATAAATTGTAAATGTGCTTAAATATAAGCGAAGATGAACATATAAATGCTGCCTGAAAAATTTGATGGGAAGACGTTGAACAAAAAATACCGCAAATTGAAAGCGTAAACATAACAGCATTTAATGCTCGCTAACAACTAAACTGAAATGAATTTAAACCAAATACATTAATTTAACGTTAAATACTAGCAAATGAAAAATTAAACACAAGCAAACGAAGAAAATTTTGCTAGTAAACAAATTTGAGTATTAATAACGTTGAGAGTCTTTTCTAATGCAAATATAAAAATTTAGATAGAAAATGCAATATTAAAATATCCCTCTATTTACTTTGGTATATATTCTTCGTTATATTTCGTATTGTATTTATCTTTTGTTATAAATTGCTGCAATTTAATAATGCACAATGCACATCTCTGGCAAACTACGACAAAATGAATAAATATTTTAATTAAATAAATATTTATAGCTTAACACATTTCTTTACTTTTAAAATTATTTTCAATAAAATATAAATCCGTGGTTTGTTTTTTACACAATACATTTTATAATAATCAAAAATTTAGTTTATTTTCTTCTTCTCTACAGACATTGATACTGCTTAGGCCATCGTTGAATCAAGTATAGCGCACATTCATTTTAAAAGATGTACAGTGAAGCTAGGTCATAATCCACCTGACTGACATGTTTTAATTTGTTTTTTTTTTTTATTTATTCTTTTTTATCCAGATTATTCAATTCAATTTTCTTTATTTTATTTTTTTTTCAATTAATTTTTTTTAAATTAATATAGTTCTAGATAATTTATTTTATGTTATCTTATTCAATTTAAAATTATTTTATTTATATTTAGTTTATTTTAATTTCAGTTAATTTAATTTACTTTGATTTAATTTGCCATGGTTTTCTTTACTTCAATTTGACTTTATTATTTTTATTTCATTTTATTTTATTTAATATTTTATTTTATTTTGTATTCATTTAATTTCTTTCAGGTAATTTTATTTTGTTTTTATTTTATTCCATTTAATATAAATTAATGTTTTTTATTTGATTTCACTCTATTTTATTTAACATTATTTTTTTTGTTATGTTTTATTTATTTTATTTTATTTCTTTTATAATTTAATTTCTTTGTTTTATTTTTTTTCATTTTATATAATTTGTTTTTATTTAATTGTACAACTTTGCTTCCGCCGTTTTTTTCTGAGGGCATTCAATGCGCTTCAGCTGCATTTTTTTTCGAATTGTAACAGAAAAGTAAAACTTCCCGCAAATGGCGAGAATTAGGCACATAAACGGACATTTTCGAGCGTGAATAATACGAAAACAAGAACAACTATCACTGAAACGGTGATGACAATTCGTTAGGCACTCACTTTAAAGGCATTATCATCTATGTATTTCAACCAGCCACAGCCGGTACAGCCACCTATTGGAAAACGATGGAAGCAAAGTTGTACACCTGATATATTAATTTATTATTTTATATATTATTTTTTTAAGTTTGTTATTTTATTTTATTACTATCTTTTTATAATTTATATTTTTATTTAATAATTTTGGATTTTTAGAATTTAATTAAACCCTTTAATGAGCCTGTTTCTTGTAATAATTACTGCTACTGCTCGACATTCTGTTACTAAATGTCGAAAATAAAAATACTCAGTAATTAGAGACAGCTAGAATATACATGAATTTGTATGCAGGTACATAAGAAAATAAAAAAATATTTTTTTTGATTGTACCGCTGAGGAGCTGCTGCCTAACAGGATATGTCTCAACAAGCATATCCGTAGCCTAATTAATGAATTTGGTACAACAGACAAGCAGCAAAACATTAATTAATCACATCTTTTCGGAAATGACAGGCTTTATTTTATATACCAAATTTCATTTCATTCCAAAGGTAAAGTTGCAAATGTATCCAGCAGGAAAATTTGAGAAAATCAGTTGGTTTTTTTACACTCATATATGGCCATTTTCTAAAACGGAAGTAAATGACGAATTGGAAGGAAGTTCTGGATGCCTAAAAGTATCTTGAGATAATTTAATTAATTTTCTGTATTAAAACATCATATATCATCATATATCTATAAAATTTATGCTAACCATAGTTAGTTTTTCGCTAAAGTTTGAGCTTGCATGAATAAAAAGAAAAGCAACAAAATTTCCATTTATGTTTTGCGAAAGTCTCGTTTTAGTGGGACACTCCCAGTAATTTGCAGGTAATAAATGTTTCCACATAAAATTGCCTCCCGTTCTTATAAATAATTTTTTTGTTGTTTTACTCACACATGTCTACAATTACAAGCTAAGCTAAACTGACAGTTGGGATGCTAACCAAGCGGGCATTTCAAAATAGTGAGCTTTTGTTGTTGTTGTTGTTATTATCGTCAACGTTATAGTCAGACTATACGTGATCACAATATTATCTCTTCATCAGTAAATGTGACTAAGCAGCGATGTATCTAAATGTATATGTAAATATGTATGTCATTCATTAGACCTGGAAAAATGGAAGTGAGTGGTGTTTGCGTGATCGAATTGGATCACGTCAATTTAATAGAATACACACACATACATATATGTGTTTGCAAATGAACATAAATTAATCTGTATATATTGTATGTATACATTTTCATAAAGTTTTGCATAAAGACTTAGATATGCATGTATACGCATACATACTTTTCATACATCCTTCGTCTAACGACTGCATAAATTATCACTAACAACTCACTTCTAGTTATCCATGCCTATGTACATGTGCATATGTACATGTGTGTTCTGCTCTTTTGACTTGGGATTTCTCTCACTTACATAAATGAGCTCACGTACTAATTCGTACAACTATTTTTCGTACAAACACATGCTTCACACTGCTATTTACATATAAATACATGTTAAAGGTAAATATATTGTGCCAACTTGCAGTCAACTTTGCTTTGTCAACATTTACCGTTAGCATGTTAGTTAACGAATTATCTTCTTACCTATTCACTATCTATGTACTCGTATATATGTATGCGCAGGCCAACAATACCATATGATGCTAATTAAAATGATTTTTCATTTCATTTTCACCAAGGCTACAAAAAACGAATCTACATCTCCGACTTCTGCTCTTATTCAGTTTAAATGAAGACCCCGCACGACGGGTGGTGTTGATTCATAGAGGTACATTCATATATGTATGTGTGCACAATCAAATATTTCCTCTCATCTCCGGAAATTATTTTTTTTTTTGGAACCCTTGGAAAATAATTTAAATTAGGAAATATTTCTTTTATAGTTATCACCGAAAATATTCGAATTAAAGGTAAGCTGTGTTAAGTTGAATTAAATTGAATTTAGATAAGTTGAGTTGAGTTGAATTGAGTTGAGTTGAGTTGGGTTGAGTTGAGTAGAGTTTAGTTGAATTGAGTTGAGTCGAAATTAGTTGAATTGAATTGAGTTGAGTTGAGATTAGTTGAGTTGAGATTAGTTAAGTTGAGTTGCGATTGGTTGAATTGAGTTGAGTTGAGTTTAGTTTAGTTGAGCTAAGTTGAATTTAGTTTAGTTGAACTCAGTTGAGTTATGTATAATTAAATGTTTTCGATTACATGGAGTTATTCAAAATCAGTTAGCTAAAATTCTTTTTATTTGGTAAAGTTGAGGTAAGTATGTAAATTATATGGATTTCTGCTCTCTTCTTCTTTCCTGGCGTAGACATCGCTTGGGCGATTATAGTCGAATTTACAACATCGCGCCAATCCATGTTTTTCCACTGCTTGGCACCAATGGGAGATTCCACGTTCAGACAGGTCCTTCCCAATCTGGTCTTTCTAACGGATTGAAGACTTTTCTCTTCCTCTGCTTCCACCGGTGGGTACTATGGAATACGGAATTTATATGATCATATTTTAAGAAGGATTTATATGTGTTAATTTGGTTTATATAGCTCTCAGTAGGACTCATGCTCGAATGTTAATAAAATCACTTATGACTTCTCTTCTCTGGTGACTTTGTACCCTGACCGTGCACGTACGCAACCTGCACTTCAGCTATTTACCACCCCACAGAAATATATTTACACTATAGCTCTCATGCCCTGCACAAATATTTGCATCTAATGAACGCCTAATGAGTGTTGTTTTTTCTCTCCGTTTTTCTGGTTATTACATATTTGCTTGGAATTCAGTAGATATTCTGATTAGTGGCGAACTTTTTTTATTAGTATTTTTGCGAGCTAAGTACTAATTGGCGTCAAAGTTTATGGTAACACTAACTGGAGTTATATATATACATATGTACATATGTAAAATAACAAAAATTAAGAACAAAAAATATCTAGAAAACGTAGCACAGGAAATTCATACTTACATACATCTGTATGTAGATAAATGAATATTTTGTAATGAATCTGACTTTTTAGTGATTGTTTGCAAACTAGTTTGCTTTGACTTTTCCGCTCATTAATAGTGACCAAACTTTTGCTAACAACAAAAATTTATTAATTTATTAACTCTGTGAATAAATGTGCATTAAAAACAGTTTGTTGGCTTAAATGAATGCTCATGGGAGTTAATATTCAGTGGTGGGAAATTGAGGTTCATATTAATGTAACATTTTAACAATTATATGAACGTATGTACTATACATGTATGTATATATATGGAATATGACTGCTGAAATATTTTCAGATAAATTTATTTGTAAGAGTTTTTTAGGCAGAATTTCTGGAAGATAGTACAACATCAGATCTTTATCATAATATATATGAGTATGCATTTATAAAAGGGTTTTGTTCTGAATGACTCTCAGATTTGATTTACAGAAAATATGATACAGCAGTAGCATTGGGCCCCAAATTGCCATAGGAAAAATAATATTTTTTCACCGGGATATGGATCTGCGACCGGTCTATTTGAAAATCCAACTTATCTTTAAAACGTTGGACTTGTATACATTTTTGTATAGAGGTAGGTTCCGGCTACCATGCCTGGCACGCAGACAAATATATAAGGTGTAGTAAAAAGTTGGTTTGGTTTTTATCTCAGAGATGGCGTTATAATCCACAGTACTAGTGTTACGTGTACGTATTAGTGTTATTTGCTGAAAACGTGTTTATTCGCGCTAAAAGCCAAAGCGGCTGAAAAAATTAATTTAGTTTATGGGCCCGATACTGTAAATGAACGTGCAGCACAAATGTGGTTTGCTAGGTTACGTTTCGGGAATTTCGATGAAAAAATGCACCACGCGTCGGGAGGCCTGTGGTCGAAAATTGCGAGAAATGCAGGGACATAGAGGAAACAGTCCGTCATTTGAGCACAGAAAACCGTTTGGAACCATTTGAATAACCTTGGATTCCAAAAAAGCTCGATTTTT